ACGGAAACTGCGCTCCTCCAATACAGGTAAAATCCTCGTTTAGTCTTGGAAAATTATTTCTGTTTAAAAATAATTTTAAACATCTGAGCACTCATTTTCCATTTTACCTCAAGCCATTTTGACAATTGAATTATTTGTTAGTTTTAGAAGTTAATTTAACTGTGTCGGGGAGTTTTAATAAACAGATATTGAGGAACTAAGTTTAGTGCAAACTTTGTTATTTCATGTCTTACTTAGTTACAGAATACTTAACTATGTTAAATTTGTTGTGATCGGAGAACTTAAAGTGTCCAGGTGAAATCAAAGTTTTCAAACTGTCCTCCACTTGCAAGTTTTCCACTAAAACTTGTATTTTGACTTTAATTGAACTCTTGTTCTTTTACTCTTGAGCATGAATTTTTGGTTTCTTTTATTTGTTTCTTGCAAACTTTTTGAATGTAAGTGCGAGAAGTGTTGTAGAGTTCTATTTTGTTACTGGCTATAGGTTTCAACTGCAATCGATATGACGAAACTTTTTCGCGAGACATTTTAAGTAGTTGTAAAACTTTTCGGGGATTTCAAGTTTATGCAACAGAAAAATAGTGGGATTAGTGCTCGAGTAGAAACGCTAATTTATTTTCATAATTTTCTTCATTACCGTTTACAAGAGCTTTTTTATATGGTTTTTTAGAGCGAAAGTTATTTTTATTATTTGTAAATATCTCATAGAGAATTTTTCCGATAGCGATGAAAATTAAAATTCAAACTGCGTCAGAAATTCACACCAAATCTTAAGACAGCGTTAATCAGAGCAACAGATATCATGATATGAACGGAATTTGCTTGCAGCGAGATTTTACCAAAACTAGAGTGATTGATTATTGCACTGGTAATTAGTAAAATTTTTACATGTAATGAAAAAGACGTCAAACGTGATTACTATTTATTCTCTCTATTCATTTACAACGCATCTATCATCGAATCAATAATGTCGAAAATGAATTTGTTATCAGGGGAGAGCGAGGACAATTTATTCAAAATTTTATTGCTAATGGGGTCAATTTAGTGAATACATTATTTTCAACTCCTCGTTCTATTATACCGCGAGCAATAGAATACATAATACAATGCAGCGCGCTTGTTTAGTAATTATGTAAAATTAGAATTAAGTCAGGTAATTAATTTTAATTTCTTTCTCGCAAAAAACGAGAAGAATTATTTTTACATAAAAATATTTTAGGTGTTTTTAGTCGAGAGTTATAACAAAAAAGTTGCAGCTTTTGCACCTGTAGGTGCTATTTTAAAATTTCTTATACATTTTTCATAAAATAAGAGCTTTCAAAGACGCTGCTTTATAATGTTACGTTTTCTGATATAGAAAATGAAATGTATCACACTTGTAACCATTTCGTTTGTCTGGAGTTTAGCTCGCTTCAGAATTGACTGATTTCTAGCCTTGATGTGAAACTAGGACACTTTTCGTCGTTTTTAGCACTCGATATCTCGCGCTGTATTATCTCAGCAAAACGGAAATTTATTTCTTAGCTTTAATACCCCAACGGATTGTGAAAATAGATACTGTTTTTTTATGTACAATATTTTCTCGCTCCTTTTTGTTTGAATGCGATACATTATGTCTTTATAAAGCTATCAAGGAAGCATCGAGACCATGCATCATTGACTCCGTCTTAGATGCACAACTTTGTTGTTCAAGAGATATTGAACGATCCAAGGAAGTTCTGTTACTAATAAATCAATTTTACGGTGTTGTTAGAAATTTGGAGCTTTGTGTTGCTGCCATAAGCACAGTTTCATATTTAAATTCCCGTTCGTTTGTTGCACAATTGCACTTTCAAAGTAATCAATTCGGTATGAAAAATCAACTGAAACCTGAAATTGAAAAATTCCTCACCTCTTTGTAACGTTCATAGTTAGCTAAGTGCACGTTCTCATTGTCTACGCAGTCCAGCAACACATGATTTATTGGAACGTTGGTAGCGGGGGCGGTCGCGTTCGCCGCCCCCACAGATCAGTCTCTTCCGAGCCTCGTTTCAGTACAGACGCTCTCTATTTTCCGGGTTCCGGTTAATGCGGACGAAACTCGCGAAGAATAACTTCATTCCGGTCGACGGCAGTGCTTAACTTTGAATATTTAAATCATTTCAAACATTTTATTGGAAGTTTGTTAAATTTTTTATTTTTGTGTTATCTTTTCGTAAGTATGAGGTTTGATTGGTTTGCTCGTCGTACCATCAGAGTTACAGTCGAGATATTTTACTGGGGTCTTGAAAGTCTTCTGAAATTTGAATCTTTCAGGATGTTTTTCCTCTCGATTTCAGGATTCGTGTTTACGCGCTCTATTCCACAAGTGTTTCGTTTGAAGGTTTGCCCTTGTCAAACACCCATCTGGATGTGACATGTAAATTATTGCGTATCACACTTTGCCTCACTGATAGATATCTTCATCATAGTTAGAGATAAACAAATAAAAAAATTATAAATGATTTTCCTGAAAAAATTACTTGTATAAACTTTTTACTTTTCCTCATAATCTTTGGCAGATCTTAAATAAAGATTGATTGTTCCGTGTTGAAAATATGCTTAGAAGCGAGTGTGTTTGATGTTTCTATTTTCGAGTAGTGTATTTCAGGGTTTTTACGAGGGAAATGCAAATTTTCTTGGTGCATTAGCGTACATTCGTGCAAATTAGCGTGAGCAGGCTTCCAAATTGTAAATCTAAGTTGAAATACATAATTGAGTCTGCAGTGTGTTTATAGAAACGGTAACTAAATGAAGGAACAGGCTGGAGATTTAATTAGTGTGTGATTTCATTGATCGACTTTTTAATGCGTGGTTTTGGTATTAATTTGAAAATGTTTCTGTGAATTTTACCGGCAAGTTAATATTTTAATGAAATTTTTTGGTAAATGAAGCGCGTTCAAGCCGACTAAGTTCGTGATTATTTTCTGAATTGAAATTTTAATTTATGACTTGAACTCCATCCCTTCATTGTCCTTGCAGTCCACAAACCCACTTCATGCAAAGTCTGATTTTTATTGTTTCTAATATTATGTAAGTTTGGGGCGAATTCGAATGCTGTTGCTGGAATGGCAGGGAATTTCTATTTGATCCCAAACATAGCTTCTCTGGAATTTCGGTAATGTACATATAAACGTTAAGAGTGCCTGAGAATCTTTTAGTTTAATTTCATAAGATTTTTTTTAATACTTAAATGCCACCAGAAAATGCGTTTCTGTCCGAAACAGACGTCTGTTTGGTAATTTAAAACCTTCTGTTTTCTAGAGCGTGTTGAATTTTCCACTTGGTGTGGTTCTTCCCACCACCACTAGCAGCACTATTTTATTTTCTTGATCGGCATTTATTTCTTTTTTTACATCAAACAATTGGGAGATGTAATGGAGAATTTTGTGCAGATTTCAATTCATAAATCGTGACCCTACCCGGAGGTGTGGCATTTTTGTCGCTCATTTTTGATTTATGAAAGATACGTCAGATTGTTTCCAGCAAAATCGTATATTTCCTTCCGGGGTAATTGGGTTAAAGTATCACATCCCACGTTTAAGCGTGATATGTCGATAATGCGAGCAATAGAGAATATCCTCGTCGAATCTGCTTCATTTTTTGTGTTAAAACATTCGCAATAACGCCTTCGAAAGGGTCGCTTAAATATTTGATCTGTTACCCTCTGATATCACGAACGTTTGTCAACAATGATCTTATTACTCTTTTTCCCCCGTTTAGCAGTGTTCTTTTGATCATATTCAAACGAACTTTACATTCGAAAACAGCGCTTTCATATCTCAATAGTTCATTTGGATTGGGTTATTGTCAAACGGGGAGCGTTATTACTTTCAAGCACATTATTTTTGGGGTTTTATGCCAATTTTTAATTTTTGATGACAAATTATCAGTGAAATTGCTTATGTCCTAGTTGCTAGAGGGATGAAATGAAGAGAATTTTATTTCTTCAAGTACTGTTTTAATAACAATTAATGAACGTAATTTTTTTTGGTAAAATAATAACACCTGCTTATTTTTGCATTTCATACATATTTAAACAGGTGGATAGGGCATTTTCTTTACGTCGGAAATGTGTTAAGGCTTCATCTGAAAAATCCTTTACCTAATGGAATGACACTTCATTGTCTGGGGATGACGCGTTCTGCATAATTCAATTTTTTTCACTCACTTTTTGTTTTTGTATTTTGGAAAAAGTTGATATTATAGTAATTCTATTTTTACGATATTTTTCATCAAAATGGATTAATTTTATTTGGTAAAGGGTTGTAGACAAAAGCCGAGTTGGTTGTGATGTCGACAACTTTGCTCGATAAATTCGAATAACTTTGAAACAACAGTGAAAGCACTTTTCATACTTGCATAATCAACTTAATGATTTGTTTTATTAGAGAAATACAGAGGAATTGGCTTTTCGGGTATTGGACATACCCAAATAATAGGTTGAGATTGCATTTAATGGGGATTTTGTTTTTAATTGAAAACATTGTTTCGTATTTTGTAAATTGTTAGGTCTACCGACAGAAAGATGGAAATCAATAAGGGATTTGCACATTTCGTCAATATTTGTCATGAATCAACATTCAGGTAATGTTTGCTAATGGTTTTTGGTAAATTATCTCTGAAAAATAAACTGCTTTCTGAATAAATTGATTTTTTTCTGAAATTTTGATTAAACCCGAGTTGCAACATAAAAACACAGCTAATAAAAGTAAAAATTTGCATGAGTTATAAAAAGTTTGAACAAATTTAAGAATAGCCGAGCTTTTTGGATGCAACGAAGTTTGGATGTCATCAAAGTTTGCGTACAAAATATCGAAAATGATGTGAAAAGTAATTATTTACGTGCTTGGGTTGCGCTAAAACAACCGCGACAACTTTCAGGATCGGTCTGGACTAATTAGATTTCAGTGTCTCGATTTATCCCAATTGCGCTTGCTTAGGCAAAAAGGTTGGAATTTTCTGATGGTGCGACGGGTTTATCAATTTTTTCCGGCTCATTTCCACGGACGTTTGTTGTGATTTTCCAGAAAAGACGCACTTTTGACTCGATAAAGTCGGAAATTAAATAAAATTGGTGAGGTGGATGTGTACGGTTCATTTGTTGCATTCACCGGAAGGGTGGCTGTTGGTAATGTTGTGCGTTGATGCTTTTATTGGCTGACGACACAGCCTGTGATGCGACTGCTTACGTGGAACTCCCTCATCATGTTCGACATCGTCTTCGTGTTCTTCTTATTCCTGGTGGGGGTCACATGTCTCGTGTACTACCTGCCAGGGAGACGACCTGAACCTGAAGACAGACCGCTGCAATGCTATGTCACCGTCACGTCGGCGGACGTCCAAGGATCGCCCGTTGATCACGTCTAGAAAATGGCCAGTATGTACCCTGTCTTAATTTCAAAATAAAAAATACAGGGGTTAATTCAAAAACGAGGGGCCGTTAACTTCAAAAAAAAAAGGTACAATCAATTTCAATTCCAACAAAAATTCTCCGAAATTCCAATAATCTATCGTAATTCTTATAATTCCAAATTAATTTCTGTAATTATAAGTTATTTTTTGTAATTCCAAAATAATTCGAAATTCCGATAGTGGAATCATCACACTTGTCTTCGGCTCGTGGGACTATGCCTTATTCTAAACTTGTTACAGAATAACTATTTTTTTAAATTATTTTTGAACTTTTGCATAGCTCAAAGGTGCTATTTTATCACCTATTGAGAGTCAACCAAATAGCAAAATGGGTTTTTGGGGTCTCAGCAATCAATATTTGAATAATATTTTACAAAACCCATAAATTAGGGTAAAGCCGGGAGAGATGGACCAAGGGGAGTGAAGGGTTTTTTAAACCATTGAATTACTCTTAAATCTGCAAACAAAAATGTTGTATCAACTTTTTTTAGGTAGCTATAACTTTTTGAAAATACAAGTTTAATATTATTTTTTTATTAATTTTTGCTAAGTAATTATGAATTTTACTAGTAAGTGACGTTAAACATGCATTTAGGATATTTAAAAATAGAGAAAATCTTAAAAATAATAAGTAAAACGTGGAAAAACCCTTATCAAAAGTAGAGATTTTTTGAAGGGGTAAAGTCGGCAACAGCACATCAAAAATTAATTGGTTTTTGTAGTAACAAATATTTCAAATTTTTGAGTGCAAGCACAAGGTGGCTCAAAATGTACTTCAGTGTTAACACTTTGTGCTATCTTTAAATATTCATATTTTCAAAACAACGCGGCGTAGAATAGTTTTAAAAACATATCTGGGTTCTTTTAACGTTTTCTATCACCATATAAGAGATTGTATTACTTTTTTGAATCACCGTGTATAAATATATATTTTTTATACATGCCTACAGTATAGGTGGATAGGTGAAACGACTCTTGTAAAAGATAAAAAATTTTGATTAAATATTTATTTTTTGGAGTTTAGACTTGCTTGGTTAAAGATTAATTTCAACATACTTTTAGATTTGATAAATTAAGTATGTTTTGGAAATTTTCAAAAAAAACTATTTTTTTGTACAGTAAAGTGCTTTTTATCTGGCAAATAAGACCAAAAGTTATAAAGAAAAGTTGTTTAAAATCAACAATTGGACCTGCATACCAAATTTGATAATCATTATTTTAATTTTTTTTCTCTGGGGTAATTACTTTTTATTCTTCGACACTGTCTAAATTTACGTTTTTTCTTCCGTGTAAGGAAGTTTTGACAACTGTTTGGCATTTTTTAATACGAAACGTCAGATTATTTTTAACAGATTTAAAGCAAGTTTAAGCCTTATTGAGTATAATTCGAAGAATAAAATGTTGTATTCAACTCGTTTGAGTGTAAATCGGACGCTTTATTCTACCTCGTGGATGTTAAACCACTCGTTACACTCGTGGTGTAATAACCCACTCGGTGAGATAATCCGTCCGATTTACACTCAAACTCGCCGAATAAATAACTATTATTAACACAAACTTCAATAATTTATTTTGTACTAATAAACATAAAAAAGATGAAAAATCATAGTTGGACGATGATTTTGAAACTTAGTATATGGGCCTAGATGTTGATTCCAAATAACTTATTTTAATAAATTTTTGTTGTATTTGCCACACAAAAGGCACTTTATAGAAAAATAGGTTTTTTGAAAATCTCCAAGGCATACTTAATTTTACAAAATTAAAATTATGTTAGAAATTAGTTATTATCCAAGCAGGGCTGAACCCTAAAAAATTAAAATTTAAATCGAGATTGTATAGTTTTTTTGAATCACKGTGTATAAATATATATTTTTTATATATACAGTATAGGTGGATAGGTGAAACGACTCTTGTAAAAGATAAAAATTTTTGATTTAAATATTTATTTTTTGCAGTTTAGTCCTGCTTGGTTAAAGATTATTTTCTAACATACTTTTAGATTTGAAAAATTAAGTATGTTTTGGAAATTTAAAAAAAAACTATTTTTTTGTACAGTAAAGTGCTTTTTATGTGGCAAATACGACAAAAAGTTATAAAGAAAAGTTGTTTATAATCAACAATTGGGCCTGTATACCAAATTTGAAAATCATTATTTAATTTTTTTTTTGAGGTAATTACTTCTTATTAATATAAACTTCAAAAATTTATTTAGTACTAATAAACATAAAAAAGATGAAAAATCATAGTTGGCCGATGATTTTGAAACTTAGTATATGGGCCTAGATGTTGATTCCAAATAACTTATTTTAATAAATTTTTGTTGTATTTGCCACACAAAAGGCACTTTATAGAAAAATCGGTTTTTTCAAAAATTTCCAAGGCATACTTAATTTTATAAAACTAAAATTATGTTAGAAATTAGTCTTTAACCAAGCAGGGCTAAACCCCAATAAATGAGAATTTAAATCGATAATTTTTTATCTTTTATAAGAGTTGTTACACCTATCTGGTGACACACTGTGTATATATTTAGAAGAATGTGTTTTTAAATTTGTTACTTTTATAAGACGTCTTATGCTATGAAAAAAAAATATTCGCCGTTTGAATTGAAATGAAGATCGTAATTTTACAGTAGGTTTTTCAAAATGTGGTCCATCTCTCCCAGACTTACCTTAAGTTAACTTTTACAACAACATTATTTTTAATGCATTTTTAAAACTAAAATAATTTATTTTTTGGAATTGTTTACTTACTACTTACAGTAAAAGTTGCATTTTCAGCTGCATTTAATGGGAATATTAGTTAATTGAAAGCTTTTTTTTCGGTAATGATTAAATAATATTTATCTGTTTGAGCAGTTTCTTGTGAAAAATGACGATTTATTTTTTCCTGTTTCATGTGTCTGATAAAGGAGAAATTGTTCTCAAAACTAATCACTTTGGCTTCTTTGTATAATACATTTTTAATATCTTGTTCCAATTTATTAATGTTCATATCGACCGTGTCGTTAGAAGAGACTCCTCCACGCCTGGTTTATTATGAATTAGTTATCGATTTGGTCGTGGAAAAACTACCAGAAATAAAGTCAAAATTAATGTCACAAATAGTCGAAGCTTGGCATTAACGACGTCGTTAGTAAGCAGCATCTGACGTTCTAGGATCAAAATTTAGGGTCGTTGACCAAAACTTGCCCTTAATTCGGACAGTAAACGTTATGATTGATCGTCTTTCCGGCCTCTGACTCTCAACTTTTAACGATCATTGCGTGCTTTTATCTAGGTGTTGTGAAAATATTTATGTCGAAATCTGTTGTTAAGTTTATAGTGGAAGCTGAAGACTCAATTTCGCGTTGTAAAAACCGTGAAAAAGCTCGGTCGATATATTGAATTTAGTACAGTAGGATAATCCATCAACGAAGCAATTTGACAATGTGAGTTCTGTTGTTATTCAATGGTTTTCAGCAGTCAGAACGAGATAAATAAAAGAGAAGTATAACCCTGAAACCATCTATCAATGACTTGGCAGCTATCTATCAGGTCCTGAAACGCTTTGCGGCTTTTCGTCCTCTAATATTGAGTCCATTACGGTCCAAGCGTTTTAAACACTTGACTTTACTTGAATTATGGAGCTTAAATTGTGAGTTCATCAATGAATTTAAAAAAAAAAGAAGGTGAAGGAAAAGTCGCTTTCATTAACGGCTTTTCAAAAGCTGCCATCTCTCTGTTTTTTAATTAAGAAAAATGAAAAAAATGTGATAGAGTTTTAACTCTTATTATTTAGTGGTAATGTTAGGTTAAAGGCTAATAAAATGAAATAAGCTTTTTTCGCGATCGTCGTTTAGCAGTTACATGTTTAAATGACTGTTATTGCTAACAATAAAGATTTTTATTTGAACGAATTTATCGAAGATGTGTTCGTTTTATTGTCAGACGATTTTATTTCTTTAATCATAAAATTTTTATTTCTTAAAGAAAAAAAAAATTAATAACAGTTGATTAATGTAGACCTGAAATTAATAAAATCACTTAGTAATTCGGGCTTGGATCAGAACGTTTATCACCGTTTAATAAAATCGAAATTACCCAACACTTTTGTGATTGACGATTATACCATTTATACCAGTCAGTAAACGAGAACATTTTAATGAAAAGAATTAATAATTCTACGTTATTACCATCACGTCTTTTGTTGTAATTAAACGTTCTCAATTTTTAACTTCATCACAATATTTCGTGAAACGAATTGAGAATTTTTGTTGGTAAGATTATACGAGAAGCGATTAATTTGTGAAATTATGCTAATTCATGTCATCACAAACATCGTAATCTGGGAGAGAAGTACAGCTCTCAAGATAACAACGAAGATAAAAGAGAAGGTAATAAAACGGAAGGCTTCAATTTGGTATAAACTTTAATCACGACCTCAACATGCAACAAATATCGAAGTCTGTTCAATATTTTTTGTTCCCAGCAGATAAGTCTTTGATTTTATTGACTTTCTAACGTTTTTCGTTTTGAGGCAAATTTTTTTTTTGTGTCAAACAAGATAGAAAATAGAAACAATAAAAAAATTAAAACAGTGTATATGCGAAAATGCATTATGAACTAATAGTATATCACAACTAAGCTGGGAAATTTTTTATAACTTCTAGAGCTCAGGTTATCTGAGTTGCATTTAATAAATAAATCTAAATAAAAAATCAAATTAAAGAAGTGCTTTTCTGTGTGTGGCATTGATTGGCCTAAACCTCACACGCCTCTTTAATTTTTTGCTGAACATGGGCGTCTCATTTCCGGCGGTGGCTTTATAGACCTTTCAGTACAACTTTGAAAGTTTTCGCTTAATTTACAAAACTTCCACCGCGAATAGATGAGGCTTATTCTTGCCTTCTTTATAGAGGGGTGGTTTTGTAAGCGCTTTAAATTTATTTTTACATTGAAAGCTTGGGATCAAATGAAATAA